CGGCTCCAAAAATAAAGTACCCCTGCCCTGTCCACATCACGGGCGGCGGCCATGCGGGCGCCAAGCGGAGCAGGTGGGACACCTCGGCCAGCCCGCGACCTCGACCTAGTGCTCGACCTAGTGAATGTTTGATCGCGGTCGAGCCGGCGCCCTCGCAGTGTTTGTTGACTGACGGTTGTTTGCGCACCCTGGGCCGCCCGCCATGGTCCCAATAAAACACAAAGCCGGAGAAAGATAGCCGTGTGTGTATTTTTCTGTCTCCGCCCCCTCCCACCCACACCCCTCCGCAAGAAGAGAGGCCAATGCCTCCATGGACACGCAAATGCACCTCGCGCGCACCTCGTCGCCGTCCAGCTTGCTCACACCGCCCGCGACCATGCCGCCGAACGCCACCAGCCACGCCGCCGGCCCGTTGTCCGAGGCGCTGGAGCAGGTCCTGGCCCAGGTCTCCCGGGAGGTGGCGAGCGGCTCGGCGGCCAGGGGCTGCGGGCTGCGCTGTGGCGGGCGCCGCGGGGCGCGGCCGCGCCTCTGGTCCTTCTGGCACTGGGCGAGCGCGGGCCGCGCCAACCCCTGGGCCACGCTGGCCGCGGGCGGGCTGTCGGCGATGCACGGGCTCTCCTCCCCCAGCCTGAGCAAGGCCTGCGTGGGCTTCGTGGACGCCTCCACCATGATGCTTTCCTTTAGCTTCCAGGTGCCGCACCACCGGCCTCCTGACACTGGTAGGTGCGGGCTGGGACTCTAATGCAGAGGCATTCCTGTGCGAGCAGCTGTTCGCCGCCACCAAGGAGCGCGAGACCGTGGACCTGCTTCGCTCGCTCCTTCAGCTGGCGGGCCGCGTCGAGTCCGGGGACGTGGTCGGTGGGTCGGAGCACGACGTCGAGGGCGTCTTGCTGGACACCGCGCGCACGCTGCGGGCGCTGTGGACCGTCACGCGCATTGTGGTCTCGGCCGGCACCGCCATCCTCACGCTGTCACCGGTCATCACCGGCAAGCCCACGCTCAGCGCCTGGCCGGAGCCGAGCGGTGGTGAGGACTGGGTCTTCCTCACACTTTCAAAGGAGCTCCGCTAAGCTCGTCAATTGCCACGCATATTGGTCAGAGTGTATAGACAGGCAATTTCAAATCTAGAATCACATCTTTCACCCCCCGAAAACAAAATTCGATGATGGGGCTAACTTTCACTCCGCTCTCCGACAGCTTCTATGTTGAATTTGGACATTACACTCACTCACGCACTCGTTTCGAATTCGGTATTATTTGAACGCGTCGCATTGCTTACCGATCACCGATCAGTGCAGTAACCCGTTCAGCACGGCATCGGACCGTCACTTCAGAAAGCTGCCCGCGGCCGCGGGCCCCGGTTGAGCTGGCAGCCTGGCCGGGGAGCGCCGTGGAGGTAGGCCGCTCTGTAACGCGTCAGCGCCATGCTGGCCGGCCTACCCTACGCTCGCAGGGGCGCTAAGCAGGGTGGGCCGGGGAGCGCCGTGGAGGTAGGCCG